TTTCCCCGGGTTTTAAATTTTTGGATTTAATTTGCAAAGGGCCTGTTTTTAAAAATTTAGATTTTCTGGCTTCTTTCTGGAAACATCCCCTCCTGTGGACAGTGGTAAAAATTTATCTTTAAGGCCGGCACATCGCCCTTTTACCCATGCTGAAGGGCTTTCGTGAGCACGCCCTGTTTCTAGGTTCAGCTGCATCCAGGACACTGCCTCCCCACTAAGCTGGGCTCATGGAAAAGCCCTTTGCCGCAGGGGGACACTCCCCCAAGCAAGCAATGCTGGAGGTCTTGGTGGTGCGATGTATCCATAGCTGTGTGCGGAGCGGGACGAGCTGTGGTCAGAGACGGTACTCACTCCAGGTAAATGCTTCCTGGAGGGGGATGCACAAGAAATGCGGAAACGCCAAGGCCATGGACTGGCCGCTGTCACCAGTGCCCGGACAAAGGGGAGCTGTAAGGACTTTGCTGCTGGCATGCCCTGGACCTTTGTGCTGGCTGGCAAACCCCTTTAGAAGAGTTTTCCACGCAGTCATGTGCACAATGTCCGAACATCCCTGGCTCCTGCGCCCATGCGTAGGTGTCAGTGCAAGGGTCTCTAGGGAACGGGGCCCAGAGGAACTGCATTCCCTGTCCCTACATTGCTGTGGGTCAGCGCTCTGTGCAGAAGCCTGTGACAGGCCTAGAAGAGGCGGGTTCTTTCCAGGATACTGTGGGGGAAAATTCTTCTGGCAACGGGAACGACACTGGGGATTTCAACAGCGACCTGTAGAAAGTCTTCGGCGGCGGGGAAAAGGCCCTTTAAGCACTCAAAGTGAGATTTTCTTGCAGCTTGTGCGTCCACAGAGCAGGCTTTGGCTGCAAAGGGAAACCCAAGTGGAAGATGCCCGGCTGGGGAGCCAGTGGCCAGGAAGCAGAGTCTGTTTCACGCATTGGGGAAGGATCCAGCTCCCAAAGGAGTCGCTTTCCAGTCCTGCCTACTCCCTTAGGGAAAAGCACCACAAGGGCCCAGAGCCAGGCAGGACACACTGCAAGCAGGGCAACTCACCATGTAGTAGTTGGAGACATGCAGGTAGGCAGCTGCAGTCTCCAGAAGATAGTAAAAGGCTCTGGCAGCATTGCCCAGTGTTGTGTAGTGGTGAACCAATGGCACAAGCACTGACTCCACGATGCCTTTGCAGTCACATGAGAGCGCATTGTTGTCCTCTCTGTCAGTCGCACTACCCAGAGGACAGTGCCCAGGGGAAGAAGAGAGCAAAGAATACAAGGGTATCATCTAGAGTGGTCTTCCTTCCCAGAGACAACATCAAAAGCCCTTTGTGCAAAGCAGAGCAGGAAGCCACAGACAGGTACTAGTCATACAAGTCCTTTGGGAGGAGGGAGTAAGGAAGAAGCTAGGCTTTCTGTCACCTCCCACAGGCAAACCAGCTGAGCCCTTGTGGTGGCTTTTTCCCTGTAGATTTTGCAGTACTACTCTGCAGGAACTGGAAAGCGAGGGCTTCTTTGACACTGAGCCATGGGCGTCCTTAAGCACTCATCTCCACAGCCATCTCCTCTCAGCTCCCACCCCACGGAAAGCCTCTTCGCTAAGCTAGAGTCACAGCTGACAGCCAAAAGCCAGCATTTTCTTTGTCTCCTCTGCACACCCTGAACTCGCTCGCTTCAAAAAGAATCAGAACCTTGTCTGCTCACCCAAAATCCTCTTCCACAAAAGCTTGCTGCTGCTGCTGCTCCTCCTGAGTATCTGTAATACCTTGAAAGAAAAAGAGGGACACCTCCCACACGTATCCTGGGATAAGAGTTGCTCTCCCTCTCCCAGTAGGCCTGCAAGGATCCTTGCAAGGCGCTAACACACCGAGGAAAGTCTGCAGTGGGTGTCCACTCCTGCTGGGCTCGTTCCTAGCAGATCTACTCCCACTCGACCCCCGGCACCAATCCCTGGGCTCCCGGAGGGCCCAAATTACAGAGCATGGTGCACAGCATACCTGCAGAGATGTAAAACCTCTCCTTCTTCAGCTGTTTTCCAGCCAGCACCAAGGCCTTCCAGGTGTGTGGGTCATCCCCACCATCAAAGTCCTTACAGCTCCCTTTGTCCTGGGTGCTGGTGACAGCGAAGCGGTGGAAGACAATAAAGTCCCCTTGGCCGCAGCTCTGGCATTTGTGTGCATACCGCTCCAGGAAGGCAGCACACTTGGAGTGCAGGGTGACCCGCTGTTTCTGGACCCACAGCTCGTAGGCAGCCTCCCGCAGCAGCGGCTTATGGAACATCAGCACACCAAATGGACACCCCACACTCTGCTTGCTTGGGGGGGAGGTCTCCACACCTGCAAGGCAAAGGGCCTTTGTATGAGCCCAAGCTGTGGCCAGATGGGGAGGCAGTCATGCCTCGGTGCACATCCTGAATAGCAACAGTGCTGCTGCACGCCAAGCCCTGCAGCATGGGGTGAAAGGGCTGATGCTAGCACAGCCTTGGGGATGCAGTTCTCAGCTGCACTGGTCCAGGCAGGAGCTGGGGATGTTGTTGCCAGCCAAAGCAAGCCCCAGCCAGCACTTTCTCCCCACTCTTGGCAAGGCAGCCACCAGCCTCCTGAGCAGGAACCCTGCATCACAGGGTAATAAAAAGCTGAAGAAAGCCAATAAAAGCTTGCTGAAGACCCTGGGCCATTCTGGAGGGCATCTTTTGCACTCTGTGGATGCTGCAGGTGGCTGGGAGAGGATGTCACGGATTCCATCCGCTCCACTTGAGGAGCAGCACTGTGGATAGTACTGGGGGAAGAAGGCATTTGGGACAGCTGCTCCAGTGTTCTTTTCAACCCTTAAGGGAGCCACAGACCCTAACAGTTGTGTAACTAAGGTTAACTGCAAACCAGACAGGTGTCACCACCAATAATAATGATAAGGGAAATGGAGAATACAGACCGCTCACCACTTTGATCCAAGCAGGGATCTGACCCTTCCTGGTAACTGCCCCCATACATCCTGGCATGATGTGCATGCTGGGTCAGCCTCCCCTCACAGGTGGGAAGATCCTTGGTCAGAGCAACAACTAAAAAACATCGGTGATGTGCAGTGCACCAGCTTAAGAAGGAGAAAAATGACTGCTCCTGCTGAACCCAAGACACACGTAATTAAAAAAAATAAACCACTTTCCCATTTTCATGGAAGTTCCCCTGTAGCCAGGGGAACTGTCAATGACTGTTGAATGTCCCTCCTGTCTGTCAGTAGCCATTTGTATGAACCTTGAAGAAACATTCCTGCTCTTAAGTTGTTTTGCCCAAAGCAACCCAAGAAGAAAAGTCAGAGACAACCTTTCTCAGCTCTGAGTTCACCTCTCTGTTCCCTGCTTGCAGTGCTGGCAAAAACCTAGTCCAGGTTTGGTAGGGCACACTGTGGGACGCACGTACCTGCTGAATCCTGCCCTATCCCAGTGGGGGAGTGTGTCTGTTGAGTGTCTCACTTTTTCCCAGGCCCTGTGAGCTGCAAATCCAGTAGGAGCGGAGCCATTGTGCAGACACCTGTCCTGGGCTGCAGTTGCCCAGAAGTGGCCAGTGTAGGGCCAAAGCCTATCCTGTTCATGTGTCGAATCTTTGCAGTGCCTCCAGCCTCAGCGTGGGGAAGAGGCAGGACTGAGATGTGTGGCTTCTCCTTGACAGAGATTGTGCTGGCTCAGCTGGACGAGATCACCCCACTGGAGCAGACAGTTTTGAAGTTTGCAGCCATCATCGGGCCGGTGTTCACTACGCAGCTGCTGTCATACATTCTTCCGATTAGAATGAGGCACAAGATGACTACCTTGTTGGACAGTCTAGTGAGTGACAACATCCTCAAGTGGATGGAGAGCACTGAGGAGCCAGAAGACGTCCAAGATCCTAGCAAGGAGCCAGCCACCCCTCCGCAGGCAGAGATTGGTAAGTCTCCCAGATGTGTCCTGGATGGGCTCCTAAGGGCATGGCGTGATTCCCTTCCTGTGAGGGCTGGCATGGCTGTTGGGGATGGGTTTGTCAAAGCTGTTACAAGTCAGTCTGAAAGCACACTAGGTTTGCACTGGAGGGAAGTTCCCACCAGCTGTCCCAAATGCCTCTGCTCCCCTGAATCCAAGTGCTGCTCGTAGCGGATGGAATCCGTGACATCCTCTCCCAGCCACCTGCAGCATCCAGACAAAAGATGCCCTCCAGAATGGCCCAGGGTCTTCAGCAAGCTTTTATTGGGCTTTGATTACCCTGTGATGCAGGGTTCCTGCTCAGGAGGCTGGTGGCTGCCTTGCCAAGAGTGGGGAGAAAGTGCTGGCTGGGGCTTGCTTTGGCTGGCAACAACATCCCCAGCTCCTGCCTGGACCAGTGCAGCTGAGAACTGCATCCCCAAGGCTGCTAGCATCAGCCCTTTCACCCCATGCTGCAGGGCTTGGCGTGCAGCAGCACTGTTGCTATTCAGGATGTGCACCGAGGCATGACTGCCTCCCCATCTGGCCACAGCTTGGGCTCATACAAAGGCCCTTTGCCTTGCAGGTGTGGAGACCTCCCCCCCAAGCAAGCAGAGTGTGGGGTGTCCATTTGGTGTGCTGATGTTCCATAAGCCGCTGCTGCGGGAGGCTGCCTACGAGCTGTGGGTCCAGAAACAGCGGGTCACCCTGCACTCCAAGTGTGCTGCCTTCCTGGAGCGGTATGCACACAAATGCCAGAGCTGCGGCCAAGGGGACTTTATTGTCTTCCACCGCTTCGCTGTCACCAGCACCCAGGACAAAGGGAGCTGTAAGGACTTTGATGGTGGGGATGACCCACACACCTGGAAGGCCTTGGTGCTGGCTGGAAAACAGCTGAAGAAGGAGAGGTTTTACATCTCTGCAGGTATGCTGTGCACCATGCTCTGTAATTTGGGCCCTCCGGGAGCCCAGGGATTGGTGCCGGGGGTCGAGTGGGAGTAGATCTGCTAGGAACGAGCCCAGCAGGAGTGGACACCCACTGCAGACTTTCCTCGGTGTGTTAGCGCCTTGCAAGGATCCTTGCAGGCCTACTGGGAGAGGGAGAGCAACTCTTATCCCAGGATACGTGTGGGAGGTGTCCCTCTTTTTCTTTCAAGGTATTACAGATACTCAGGAGGAGCAGCAGCAGCAGCAAGCTTTTGTGGAAGAGGATTTTGGGTGAGCAGACAAGGTTCTGATTCTTTTTGAAGCGAGCGAGTTCAGGGTGTGCAGAGGAGACAAAGAAAATGCTGGCTTTTGGCTGTCAGCTGTGACTCTAGCTTAGCGAAGAGGCTTTCCGTGGGGTGGGAGCTGAGAGGAGATGGCTGTGGAGATGAGTGCTTAAGGACGCCCATGGCTCAGTGTCAAAGAAGCCCTCGCTTTCCAGTTCCTGCAGAGTAGTACTGCAAAATCTACAGGGAAAAAGCCACCACAAGGGCTCAGCTGGTTTGCCTGTGGGAGGTGACAGAAAGCCTAGCTTCTTCCTTACTCCCTCCTCCCAAAGGACTTGTATGACTAGTACCTGTCTGTGGCTTCCTGCTCTGCTTTGCACAAAGGGCTTTTGATGTTGTCTCTGGGAAGGAAGACCACTCTAGATGATACCCTTGTATTCTTTGCTCTCTTCTTCCCCTGGGCACTGTCCTCTGGGTAGTGCGACTGACAGAGAGGACAACAATGCGCTCTCATGTGACTGCAAAGGCATCGTGGAGTCAGTGCTTGTGCCATTGGTTCACCACTACACAACACTGGGCAATGCTGCCAGAGCCTTTTACTATCTTCTGGAGACTGCAGCTGCCTACCTGCATGTCTCCAACTACTACATGGTGAGTTGCCCTGCTTGCAGTGTGTCCTGCCTGGCTCTGGGAAGGACAAGTTTGCGTTGCACTAGGACATGACTTTGTGGGTCCTTGGAAGGAAGATGTTGAGCTCTGAGCCTCACTTCTTCCTTTGGTTTGCCTCTTGTGTGGGAAGAGGCATTGGGTGCTGTGCCCTTAGCATGAGGGGCATTAGCAGGGAGGAGGCCTGAACGATCAGCGGTGCCTGTGCTCTGAGGCACACAGTCAAAAACATGACTGTTTGTGCAGGTATCACCAGGGGAAGAAACAGACCCTCTGAAGACAGATGCCAGAGGCAATGGGGGAGGACAAGGGTAGCCATGGGCTCTGCACTAATCTCACCTGCTCTCCGTGTGCTTGCACAAAGGCCCTCAGGAAGCTGAGCGAAGCAGATATCCTGAGGAACACTCTAAAGAGTAAAGCGAATGTGATATCCCGCTTTGAAGATGCCACCTTCTTCAGCCTCAAAGGGGAGGTAAAGGGGCGGTCTGGAGGGATCTCCTGAGTGATGGAGCTGGATGCCTTCCCCAGATGCGGTGGACAGGAGAGCTCTGGCTTCTCTGGCCACTGGCAGATCCCTGCAGTCTCTTGGGCATCTAGTCCACATTGGGATGTTTCCCTTTTCCTGTGCAGGTCTGCTACGGTGTGGGACGCACAGAGCTGGCAAAGAAAATGCTCAGAAAGGCTTTGAGCCTGCTTGGAAGGCCATTTCCCCGGAACCGCGCTGAAGACTTTGTCAGGTCGCAGGTTGAAAAATTGCAGTGTGCCGCTTACGTTGCCAGAAGAGCATCTTCCCTTCCACAGAAGGCCCAGTAAGAAACACGACCAAGAACCCGGGGGAGAAAGAGTTATTTCCTACCTGGTCACAGGCATATGGGCACAGAGCTGACGAGGCTTGAGGCCACACAGAGCAATGTGAGGGTAGAACAGGGAATGATAAAGTTCCTCTCTCCCTCCCTCCCTCTGAGGCCCTTGGAACAAAGCATACCTTAGGGTATGAAAGCAGCTTGCAGCCAGGGATGTGTCTGCTGGCACGAGTTGTGGCAGTGGATTGGTGCTGGCTGGGAAGCGAGAGCTGTACTGAAAAGGGGTGGGGGG